CTTCGGGCATGTGTTATGGACTTCAGTGGAAGTTAGAACACATACCTACCTTTGGCTGAGTTTTCTTACAATAACAGCCACCATTCGAGTATTGGTATGCCTCCCTTTGAGCTTTTATATGGGAGGAGGTGTCGGACCCCCATCTGTTGGGGAGAGGTAGGGCAGCGAGTGATGGGTAGCACTGAGATAGTGCTTAAGACGACTGAGCAGATACAGCAGGGTCAGACAGAGGTTACTGACAGCCCAGAGTCGTCAGAAGAGTTATGCGGATAGGCGGCGATCCTAGCTAGAGTTCCAGGTTGGGGATTTCGTACTCCTGAAGGTGTCTCCTTGGAAAGGAGTGATCCGATTCAGGAAGAGGGGCAAGCTGGGGCCCCGATACATTGGTCCGTTTAGGGTAACCACAAGGGTGGGTAAGGTAGCATACCGCCTGGAGCTACCCGAGGAGTTGAGTCAGATCCATGATACCTTCCACGTATCCTAGTTGAGGAAGTGTGTAGCTGATGAGACATCAGTAGTACCACTAGAAGATATTCAGGTGGACGCGAGCCTGAATTACATCGAGAGGTCGATCGCGATCTTGGATCGGAAGATCAAGGTTCTGAGGAACAAGGAGGTGCCTCTGGTTCAGGTCCAATGGCAACATCGGAGAGGGTCCGAGCTGACTTGGGAGTCGGAGACGGAGATGCGGGAGCAGCATCCAGAGTTATTTACGGAGTGAGACTTCGAGGGCGAAGTCTGATTCTAGTGGGGGAGAATTGTAACATCCAAAAACTCAGGTATACCTTGTGAACCCTAATCTTTGAGCAATTGTCCATTTTGGTCCTTGATAAAGAGAAGAACGGTAGACGGGTACGCGGGGCGTACTAGAGTGTACGCTCAGCGTACTCGTACGCGTGTTTGATCGCGGAGGGCCGCCTAGTATGCCGGGCATACCAAGGTGTACGCGGGGCGTACCAGGCCCAAAATGAAACCCTAATTCTAAGTGAGCCTCCTATTTAAAGAATGTTATGGCCTCCTTGTTGGCCACCATTCCAGAGACTTAACCTCCCCAAAACCCTAATCCTCGTTCTTGTAGCAAGAGAGTGCCTTTGAGAGCTTGTTGGTGTGTTCTTGAGCATTACAAGTGGAAAGGAAACTTTGGAGAAGAAGGAGTGAGAGCCCAAGCACTTGGATCTGAGCTTAGCAGTGAGAGAAGCTTCACTTGGAGGTAAAAAGCTTCAAGCTTTCCTACTCTTTTGTTTGTGTTTATGTGTGGGGTGTTTTAGGGTTTTTTTCCCCAAAGTTGATGGCTTTATGAGTTGATAAGCCCCTAGAGTCCGAGATCTGTCCCTTGTCAGCTTATTTGTTTTAGAGCACAAAAATCCAATCTTGTCATTAAGAGCTAACCATGCATGAGATATGGGCTTGAGAATGAAAATGGATGAAGGTTTGAGTGCTTAAGACCAAAACCCATGCAAAGGCGTAAAGTCTTCGACTTTATGGATTAGGAGACTGTAGGGGGTACAGATCTGCATTTTGAGCCAAGGTCTTAACTGATTAAGACCATAAGTGAGGAAATAGTGAAACTGGGACTTACGATGGGCGTAATCCCAGTACGTGCAGCGTAAGGGGTCAAGCCCCCCGATTCTGTGAAGCCTTCGAGTACGCCCAGCGTACAGAGCTGGTACGCGCCGCGTACTCCGGAGGGTTGACTTTCGTTGACTTTTAGGGTTAAGTCAACATTTGGATCTTTGGGCCATTGGAGGGGTAAAATGGTCTTTTACCCTTCTGAGATAATATAGGGGAGGGACTAGTCTAGCCTTTGAAGCCGTATTAATTAGAGATAATTATTTTGTGTGATTAGGCGGAGGCTAGACCAGTATTTTGAGTTCGAGATTATCCGAGTTACCCGAGGTGAGTCTTCTCACTATACATTACCTAGAGAGGTACCTATGTGCAGACCGGAGGGTCTTATGTGCTATGTGTATGTTTGAGTTTATGTGCATTGTGATATAAGTATCTATGTGTTATATAGACCGGGACCGGAGGGTCCAACGATTTAGACCGGACCAGAGGGTCCAACGATTTAGACCGGACCGGAGGGTCCAACGAGCTAGACCGGACTGGAGGGTCCAACGAGCTACGAGACTGGAGGGTCCCGTTGAGACACATTGACCGGAGGGTCATACCGAGTTATAGCCTCGAGCGGCTTATGTGTTGTATGTGGTATTTTGGGGATCTCACTAAGCATTTATGCTTACCGTGTTATGTGATATGTGTTTCAGGTACCAGCGAGGATCGCGGGAAGGCGCCGACATGATTTGTACACACTAGCAGAGGATTATATGTTGAGATTCTGGGATATGTTTTATTGTGATGACATTTGATACATGAGATTTTGAGAATATTATATGAGTTTTATTATGTTTGAAAAATGAAAAATTGTTTTGAAAATTACATCGTTACATTTGGGTTTTGGGTGATTCTTTTCGAAATTGTTTTTTAAGACAATTGGATTGGGCATTTGGGCCAAGTTAGGGAAAGGGTAAAAAGGTCTTTTATCCTAGTTTGGAATCTTAGTGTGAGTCGGGATCCAATTATCAATTGGATGTTATCTTGTGATTGATAGCGTAGAGATTGTAGCGGGCCAGCTGCTAGAGATTTATCAGTGTGATTCAATAGTTCGAGGTGAGTTTTCCTCACTGTGCTTAGTGGGTCGAAGGCACCGATACCAACCCATGATTTGTTATGCTAGGGTGCTAGATGTCTGCGTGACTCTTGCATGTGTATGTACGCTTAGTGGGCGGGACCTAATGGGTAATGTGTATGCCATTACTTGTTTTACTTGTATGTTTTTATGCTGGACAGGGCCCATTGTGAGAGTTAGGGCGGGGCCGTTATGCGAGTTAGGGCGAGGCCCGTTATACTCAGTGGGCATGGCCCGTTATACGAGTTAGGGTGGGGCCCGTTACACTCATCGGGGCGGGGCCTATTATATGTTTGATATGTGTGGTATGCGGTATTTAGAGGAAACTCACTAAGCTTCGTGCTTACGGTTTTCATTTTATGTTTCAGGTACTTCTGGTGCAAAAGAGAGGAGCTCGGGGTGATTGCAGTGCACACACGATATAGTTCCACATTTTCATGATAACTCTAATAATTTGTTATGTTTTGATACATTTGATCTTCTTGAGAATCATGTTGATGTTTTGGGATAATGTTTTATTAATTGAAAAATGAAACTTTTGGGTCTTATTTTTGGTACGTTTCATTAGCGCTCATAATGGTTTTCACCCAAATCCTCAGATCCATCAATGGGATGATTAAATTGAGGTTAGGATCATCAAAACAACAGAATAGAGGTTAGAAAACAAAACCCTAATCCTTATAAGAAGCTAAAATTGAGATTGGGGTTTCCCCCAAGTCATGAATTCGAATTTGAGAGCTAGAGGATAAGAGATTCTACCTTAAATGGTCTCAATCCTTTGTTGTAACTTCAATCTCTTGATATATCTTCACTCTAGAAAGAAATTCTCACCAGAATCGCCATCTCCTTGGTCCCAAGCTCTCTCCATTGTGATATGGATTAAGTGGGGGAAGGGTTGCACCCTATAATCCTCATTTTATATATATAGTCCCTTAAGTTTGAACCTTTTGATCAAAACTACCCAAATCCCAATATTTTCTATTTTAACTTAATGGTTTACATAATAAGTCCTTCCCATTCATTTTATAACTATTATAGACCCTCCCATTAGTTGATTCAACCCTTTCGTGAACTCACTTTGCAGACTTGACAATTATGCTCCTTTAACTTTTGAAATGTTATATTTTTCCACCTTTAACTTTCTAAAAACAACATATCATTAATGATATGATTAAACCATAATGATTTAATTAAATAATCTTTCATTTATTTACTTTATTAATTTAAGAACTTAGTCGTAAAGTTTAGGATGTTTGTAAGTCCCAAAACTATGAATCTTAACAATATCAATCTTAATTGCTTAAAGAATGTGGAATATTAATCAAGCAATGATTCAAGAACACACAAAAATAACTTCAAATGCACACGATTCTATTGAGTAAATCGTCCGGTACATAAGAGAACCTTTTCACAGCCGAATGATATGAATGAACAACTAGAACTAAAACATTCGACTCAAACATATTTATACCAAATACAAAGCCTTATCACGGCCCAAAACTACCTGACCGAAATCACCAAAGTGATTTCGGTCCCCTAAACCGAGAACAACCTTTTCCCATTAATAAAATACGTCCCTAAGCCCAAGAACAATTATAGCCCAGCATAAACCATAAATATGACCCAACAATCTCCCCCTTGGTTTATTGTTGGCTGACTTCAAGGCTTCTCCACGATATGTACGTCAGAAAACACCCAATGCTCCAGCCCACAACTTCTTATCAATGATTGTTGCAATCATACTGGTGAATGCCTTAGCAGCGGCTTCAAACATTTCATTCTCTACCATAAGCTGTTTTTTAGACAAGGTGTGAATGTCATGCTCGCCAAATTTTAGTAAATCCCAAGGATCAACAAGTTGAATCGGATCCTATTGTGTCTTGATAACCATAGTTGTTGTTGCCTCATCATATACCCAAAATAATAAATCATTTAAAGAGCCATCAGGTAAACGCTGAGTGATAGGAATCTTTTTCTCTTTAGACGTAGGCGGCCACATGACATTTACCAGAGTCTTGTTGGTGTGAGGATCTATGACACCCTTGGCCATTTTAATGAACGAAGCTGCTGTTGTCATGCCTGCAAAGTTCATCTTAGCTTTGTCTTCAAGGAATCTTTTAAACGCCCATGCGTTGGGGTCGTTTGTTGGGTTGTGAAACGGTGTGTGAACCAGCTCTGCAGGATCAACTTTTGTCCAGGACATAAAATCAATCTTATTCGCATAATACTCAATGTTTCCGCTCTTACGTTTCACAATCCACATATTCTTGTCAGCTTCAAATCCCCACATGCGAATTCCAGAACGATCACCTTATCGATCAACAAATTTTCTTTTTCCAACTTCTTTGATGAACATCTGGGGGTGATCTCTAGTTGCATTCTTATCAGAATTCTTCATCAGAAGCATTTTATCTTTCTTCAGCATATCCAATTTCTTCTGTTTCTCCCTTCTCTCTTTAGCTGTGACAGGGCTAAAAGACAAATATTGATCTATGTTGGAATCTGGAGCAGGACCAATTACCACCCTTTCAGATGATTCAGGAGCCTTTTCACCATCAGAACTGGAATTCTTGAACTCATCACCAAACTTTCCAATTAGTTTGTCTTTGAGATCAAAGTAGAAGGCTGTCAGACCACCAAGATTGTCTTGAAGTTCTGAGATATGTTTATTCTTTTGGGAATTCTCCTTTTCAAGCTCCGAAAATCTCACATCCAACTTCCCAATCAGCAGATCCTTTTCAATGGATTCCTGCTTCAAAATTAGTATCTCTTGTCTGAGCTTAGAGATGGTTTGTTGAGAGTCGTCATCACCTCTTTGTCCTGAGCCAATATGTATACCCTTTCCTATTGACTGAGGAATAGAGTCTTGAAAAGAAAGAAGATTGGTTAGCTTCATAGATGGAGCATCATGCTCTGGAGGTGGTGGAGCAGAAGAACTTCCTGAGGCAAAAGTTTCTTCATCAACAAAGAAGTCTTCAACAAAAGTTGGATTTTGATCATCTACATCAACTTGGGCTAGTTCAACGATTGGGCTTTGAACATCTTGATGAACCTGGGCTGCTTCAACAATTGGAGTTTGAACATCTTGAATAACTTGGGCTAGCTCAGCATTCGAAGTTGGCAGTTGTACTAGTTCAGCAATAAGCACTCCCGGCCTTGGATTTCTACGTCTTCGCTTCTTTGGCATCTGGGAGACATTTGGTTCGTCTTTATCACTCTCATATGGAGATTCAACAGTAACAAGAACTGCTTGGGGATGCTTCCTTGCAGTTGACTGTAATTCTTTAATAAGTTCTTCCATCTGTTCGGGCGTTGGATTATCTGGTTGCTTGAAAATATTGATTACAAACTCTGTCTCAGCTGGAGTAATCACAGCTTCATTGACTGGATCCTTATGTGGAACGAACAGACGAAAATTCACATCATCATTATCATCGTCGTCATCATCATCATCATCATCATCGTCATCGTCGTCATCATCATCATCATCATCATCATCAGAAACTTCAAATGAAAAACTAAGATTTGACCTTGATGGTGCCACATGTTCTTCTGCCACTATAGCAATCAGAGTACTAGTAGCTTGAGCACCTTCTGTTTCAGTGAATTTTCCAAATTTGACCAACTCCGTCAAGCCTTGATAGGCGACTTTGGCAGATTGTCTTGATTGCTTCATGAGCCCAAAGGTGTTAGGACCCGAAGCTTTCATGTCTATAGTATATGACGATCTCTCGACCTGGGGATATTTTTCATTCAAAATCATTTGAAGAAACCTGGGATACATTAAGAACAGATCCTTCTTCCTCCATTGGAGATTCCTTTTCATTTCTTCAAAAACAAACTTCGAAAAGTTGTAATCCCAGTTCATTGTTAAAGCAACAATGGCTGAGGTTACAGTCTGACTAATCTCATCAAACTCTCCCTTCCTTCCAGAAATGTAACTCACAAAGTAGTGCACCATAAACCTCCAGTAAGGTGGCAACTGCTTCTTGATGGTGGAAGGATAAGTTCCTTCATAACACATCTTCTTAAGGACTTCCTTCACTTGATTAACAGGGTACTCAATTGGGAATGCAGGTGCATCACCAAATTTAAGTACTTCTTGGATAACTTGCTCAGAAACAACTACTTGAGTTCCCTTCACCACTGATTCAACAGTACCAACTCCATCCGCTCCTTGATTATTGATTGAGACATTTTTATAGAAATCAACAATCAGGTCCTTGTAGATGACTGGATTAGAACGCAAAGCGTGATAAATTCTGCAATTATTCAAACCCACGATCATGGATTTGAATTCTTTATGAACAACAGGTGGATCCATAAGATATCTAACAACATTGTGATTCTCAAAAAACTTTAACTGATTCGCCATTTATCTGCACCAAACGAGTCAAATGAGAATAATAAAAATTAAGATTAACATTTATTTTCTCCTGAAATTAAACATCGGTCAACATGGTGACTTCTGTCAACAAGATCAAGTTGATTTCGGTCAAAATGCCGATTTCGGTCAAGGACTCTACTTCAGGCGTTTTCGGTTAAACACTTTTGACCAAACGTTTTCGGTTGAACATGTTGTTTTCGATCTGGACAAAGCGTTTTCGGTTTGAATCGGGTCAAAACGAAAACCCGATGACTCTTCGTTTTAGATCTACGAAGAATCCGTCGGAAACCACCGTTAGCCACGCCGAAAAAACTTCGAGCACCTGCAAAAAAACTTCAAGAAAAATCATAGAAAAGGAAGCATAACACTCGGAATCCACGTACCTAGACACTATTTGTGAAGAATCAACAGAACTAGATGATTTCGGCCGGAAATAGAGATGAACAGATGAATAGAGAAAAACGGGTTTTCGATTGAAGTTTTTGAGAGAAAAATAGAGAGATTTCGGTGGTGGTGAGGAATAATGAAACACAAAAATTTTAAAACCCTAATTAAACCAATAACGGGTTCTCGACCCTTTGGGCTACCAAAGTTGATGGGTCTCAAAACAAAGCCATTCAACAAACATTTAAATTTATTTTCATGATTCATTTCTTAGATTAAAAAAAATAAAACTGAAATTTTAAATGAATGTAAATTAAAAAATAGACTTAGCACATAATAGAAGTAACTAAGAAATAAAATTAAAATTAAAATACACTCAAAAGTAAAAAATAAAATATTTTTGGATTTTTGATTTTCCTGAAAAAGAAATAAAAACAGAAATAAACATATATATATATATATATAATATATATATATATATATATATATATTCTTTTTTGATTTTTTAAATTTTATGATTTTTGTTTGATTTTTAATTCTCCCCCTAAATTTGTGCATAGAGGAAAAATATGAACAAATTTAACAAAAACAAAAATAATAACTAAATTTAAAACATTTTTTTATCAAAATTGTCAAGCAATTTAATATCGTTTATCAACACACACCTGCATGTTTAGCTCTGATCAGTCATCAATATTGTGGTCCACTTAAACACAAAGGATGTTTGCAAATTGGACAGATTATAGATGACAAGACATTGTGATTATATTCCTAAATAGACCATTTTGTTGACGACAACCAAGGATATTGTTGTCCACTTAAATTCAGCAGCGAGATCTACAGACAACCTTTAATCATGAACCAATTCAGTTTTAAGCTCACTAGAACGTGTTCCCCAGTTCACGAGATACCCTAGCAATCAAGGAATTCCAAAGAGCTCTTTACTTTAGGTGAGTGCTCAATTATTTGAGAGAGAATATAGATATAGAGATGCATATGTTGTATCCCAGGTCGGATGTCTTCCAATCACGCAGAGGGAACAACTGACTATCATATATAGAGGGTTAGAGAGATATAAAGGTGCATATGTTGTGTCCCGGGTCGGATCTTCCGATCACACAAAGGGGACAACATATGACTGACATAGATAGATAGAGAGAAGCACAGATAGAGATGTATAGAAATAGAGGTGCATATGTTGCTTCCCAGGTCTGATCTTCCGATCACGCAAAGGGGGCAACATATGACTGACAGAGAGGATAAGAAAGAACAACAATTTCACACCGACCTACTTTATCAGAACCCCCCAGTCACCCTATCAGCACCAGAATTAAGGACATAAGTCCGTACGTCGAAGAAGTGTTGAGCCACAGTTCTAGATAAAAAGTAACTTTAGTGTATATCGCAGGCTCCCATGTTTATCTCGCTGCTCAATCTATCCAAGCGTCGTATAGCCAGTCCAAATGTAACTATCTAAGTTCAGATGAGTTAACATTGTCAAGTCCTTTCATTTGTCAATAATGTCTAGTCTTTTTGTTTGAATCCTTCGTGCCTACCAGCACATTGAACACAGAGTCTAAACAAAGTTAGTTTCAGTGCATTACACACATTTCAGATTGCCCTTTAACACTAAACCTTATATCACTTCCCAAGAATACTTACGAAAGAAAACCTATTTTTGTATTTTTGATTTTTTATATTTCTCCCCTAAATTTGTGCATGGAGAAGAAATTAAATAAATAAATACGCAAATTTCAACACACAAAAATAGAAAAATAAAAAATAGAAATTTAATCTTCGAAACGAATCATTTTTAGAAAACCCACAAGCACATCGAAACAAGTTTTACTGAAGGGTTTAGTAAACAAGTCCGCCACGTTGTTATCAACGTGAATTTGTTCCAAACTAATGAGTTTACGCTCATAACAGTCTCGAATAAAATGAATTTTAATGTCAATGTGCTTGGTTTTGGAATGTTGAACCGGATTTTTAGCAATTTGAATGGCGACATCATTATCATAAAAAATGGAAGTGTCAAGAAAGTTCAAACCGTAATCCAACAATTGGTGCTAAATCCAGATAACCTGAGAGCAGCAGGCTGAGGCGGCAACGTATTCAGCCTCAGCCGTTGAGGTCGACACCGTTTGTTGTTTCTTGCATTGCCATGACACCAATCGATCCCCTAAAAACTGACATGCACCCGATGTAGATTTCCTGTCAAGATCACACCCTCCATAGTTGCTGTCAACAAAAGCATATAAATCGAAATCGGGATTTTTAGGATACTAAAGACCCAGTTTAGGGATACCTTTAAGGTACCTAAAAATCCTCTTAATAGCAATTAAATGGGAAAGTTTAGGATTAGCCTGATAACGAGCGCATTGACAGACGTCAAACATGATGTCAGGTCTGCTGGAAGTCAGATACATCAGAGAGCCGATCATCGATCGATATTCGGTTTGATCTACGGAATCCCCATCTGGATCTGGAGTCAACAGTAGTCTCTCTGCCAGTGGAGTTGAAGCAATTTTTGAATCTTTAAAACCGAACTTTTCTATCATGTCTTCTACATATTTTCCTTGATGCAATAAAATTTTGGCCGAATCTTGTCGAACCTATAACCCTAGGAACATTGTCATCTCACCCAACGAGCTCATCTCAAATCTTTTCTTCATTACATCCTCGAACTCTTTGAATAGCTCTGTGTTGGTCGACCCAAAAATGATTTCGTCTACGTAGATTTGTACGACAATCAAATCTGTATCCATTTTCTTGACGAATAAAGTCTGATCGATCGTTCCCCTTGTATATTCGTGCTCAAGCAGATGTTCAGTTAGGGTAGCATACCAAGATCTAGGAGCCTGATGCAAACCATATAAAGCATTGTCCAGTTTGTAGACATGATTTGGAAACTTTGGATTGACAAACCCTAGTGGTTGATCAACAAAAATATCCTCCTTCACGACTCCGTACAAGAAGGCTGTCTTGACATCCATTTGATAAACTGTAAATCCCATGTAGGAAGCATATGCTAGGAATATACAAATGACTTCCAAACGTGCGACAGGAGCATATATTTCTGTGTAGTCAAGACCATCTATATGCCTGAATCCGCGAACGACCAAACGAGCATTGTTGTGAAAAATAATCCCGCTATCATCTTGCTTATTTCTGAAAACCCAACGCGTCCCCAAAGACTTCTTGCCCTTTGGTAGCTCTGCCAACTGCCATATTCTCAACTTCTCAAACTGATTTAGTTCTTTATGCATTGCGTCTACCCAACTCGGTTCATTAATTCCATGACTACACTATTTGGTTCAATTTGGAATTTGAAGCACGAATAGAGACACTCGTTGACATCTTCACTTTGACTTCTGGTCTGAACCCCCCCCCCCCCCCCCACCGCTTTCTAGTGGACCAATAATGTTCTGGATAGGATGATCACGTTGAACTCTGGTTGGGATAGGATGATTGTGATGGGTTTTGAGCACTCTAACAACCTTATGGTGCACATGCAACCCTAGATGCTTTGGATCTATGTTTTCTCTAATTATACATGCAATTTGATTTTCCAAAGCATTCATCCTAACTAGCATACAATTGAATGAAATAACGAGTTAGATAACTTACCTCTTAATAGGACTTGTAGTTCCTGGCCTTCAAAATCTTTAGCACCTCAAGTGTGATGCCTCTAATGTGTCACAAACACCAAGTGCAAAAGGAGGCTTGAGAGAATAAGTTACTTAGCACAAAATTGATTCACACTCTCCAAGAATGTATGTGGCAACCGATTTTGGCTCTAAGGGGTTCTATTTATAGTGTGACAAGTGCTAGGGTTACATCCATGCAAACCCTAATGCACCATGACTCTTCATCTTACTTAGGCTCCATGGGTTAAACCTCCA